CAAAACTAAACAAGAAGAATGCACACACACACACAAAAAAAAAAAAAAAAAACTTCCAGAATGTAGAGGCTTTTGTATTTCCATTTTAGTGGTATTATATCTTTGCCACATATTCCGAGGTCCTAGGCTGAATTCTCAATTTTTGACCTGCCTCTGAGCTTCACAGAACAAAAACCCACCAAATGCAATTTTCCCAGTACATAAATTACATTCTGAAAGTAAATCAGGCACCTCTGGAAGCAGCATTGACTTTTTTAGGCCACCAGGACCACTATAACTGAATTATTGCTTCTGTGGAATAAGTAGACTCTTGTCCTGATCTGAAAGAGCAAATTCAGTTTCTTAAAGGGATATGCTAGTATTTTTGAAGATACTAGAAATCTAGGGGTTTAACAGTGGTCTAATCACATTTCATGGCTATATCCATGATTACCAAGGTTCATGTGGGATCAAGGCAGGACACACTGGTGACCATAAGATGATGTGCTGAAGATCTGTAGCAGAGGACCAATAGCTTCATTGCATGGACACATTCCTGGAAGATTAATCTTGCATCTCTCTCCACGCCCATTTACTCTCAGTAGTTGTGGGTGGGACAAGAGCGAGATGAAAAATCAGGCAGGTGCCCCTAAACTCAGAACCTCCAAGGTTTACACAGCACAAAAGAGCTGGGCTATATGCTAAGGGACCCGGAGCTGTGTCTTTTCCTACCTCATCCCACCTTGATCAAAAGAATGTTGCATGATTAATTTGCTGACTGAATAAACACTGCATACAAGCACTTAGCTAAATATTAAACAAATCAAGAAAAAATTATAAGTATGCATTTAGTTATGAAATTTCTAGAGAAAAAATTTAATTTCATTAATACTTTTAAGTCAATGAACATATTTAAATACCACAATAATAAAAAGGACTACAGGAAGCAAAAGAATATACTAAATGATCAAATTATTTTTTGAAAAAGGATTACATATTGCAAGTGCTTAATATATTTCAAAAATTATGTAACAGCTTGGTGCAGTAGTGCATGTCTGTAATCCCAGAAGTTCAGGAGTGCAAATTCAAAGCCAGTCTCTGCAACTTTAGCAAAGCCCTAGTGAGAGCTTGTCTCAAAATAAAAAATAAGAAGGACTGGGGATGTGGCTCAGTGGTTAAGTGCCCCTGGGTTCGATCCCTGGTTAAAAAAGGAAATAAGAAAAAAAAATTACGTAAGGCATTTTACAATTTACATTATTATAAAAATCTTATTTGTTTATCACATATCCTAATAACAAAACTTTATTTTATTTGGGAATCATTTAGCCTGATTCCTTTGTTTTTGTCAGTTGGGTTCATATTATATTATCTTGTAAATGTTCTTACTTGAAAATTTTTTTAAAAAATTAAACAGATATTAATAATTATATAACTAATTGTAAATGTTAGGAAGTAAAATTATAAAAGCACATCTCTCTCAATCCACTGCCCAAAACCAACTTGAGGCCTTCCTTTCTTCACCTGTTCCTATTTATTAAGATATCTCTACATTGAAAAGGATGGAGGGAGAAAGAAAGAGGAATGAAGAGAAAGGCTTGTTTTTGATCATGTCCTACTTTTTGATTCAGAGAATGCTTTTTCAATGTACAATGAATCATTCATATTATTCAGGTAAACAAAGACTCTTTATTCTTTTTAATGTTGTAAGTACTTTATTGTACTATGGACCATAATCTAGTCAATTCTTTCTCTACTGATAGACAGTTTAAATTCTTTTCTGTAACCAATGTGGTAGCACACACCAGTAATCCCAGTGACACTAGCAGCTTAGTTAGGAAGATCGAAAGTTTGAGACTAGTCTTAGCAACTTCATGAAAACTTCAACACCTGTCTCAACATAAAATTTTTTTAAAAAAGGACTGGGACTTATTTCAGTGATAAAGTTCCCCTGGGTTCAATTCCTAGTACTTAAAAAAAATTCTCATCAATATTTTTCTATCACAATCTAAACCAAAATGAATAGTCTTACAGATATATTTATGTATATTGTACATATATATGTAATACTGTTCATATATATGTGTAAGACTGTTCATGTAAGACTGTGCAAATTATATATATGTATTTGGCATCCAGGGTTAGATATGTAAAGGTAGATTCTAGATCCAAGAGTTTCCATTTTGCACACAAAGGTTTTCAGAGAATAGTTTAATATAAGCCAGAGGTATCATCACCCCAGAGATGGGGAAAGAAAAGTGAGCAGAGAAAATGTCAAGTGAGGAATTAGAAATCAGGCTCATGTTTCACTCTAAGGCTGGGAAACTGCTTGGGTGTGTGGCTATCAAAACCTCAATGTGAAGAGATCCTGGTGGGGGAGAGTGTGACTGGAGCCTCAGAATCCAATGAAGACCAGCCACAGCAATAACAAGGAGGCTGGGCCTTATGTTTGATTCCAGCCCTCAAAAACAGAGTGGGAAGAGACTGGAATTCAGACCAGGAACAGGCATGGAAGAGCAGGACAAGAGATCCAAGAAGAAGAGGCCAAGCCTATGGCAGCTGCAGACAAGCTGAGGTGTTTTGTGTTACTATTACCCATTCCATGACCTCTCCCCATCATCAATGGAAGGAATGGAAACTGCTGACCACCAAAGCCTTGTAGCAGCAGGAAATAATGCAAGAGAGGAGTCGTCCCAAGTTCCGGGATTGGCAAAGACCTGAGTTCAGACGGGGAGATGAACGCAAGAGCAGAAGCAAGCTGGTGGCTGGTGGGGCCCAGAGCAGACAGCAGAGCCCGTCCTATCCTAATGTGTCAGAGGAGGGTGGCCTGGAAGAGATATGTGGAGCTCAGACCATTTTGTTTTACTTAAAGGGGGGCTGTCCATGCAGCAGACACATGGGCCACAGGTGCGTGTAATCTTAAAATCTTGACATTTCAGCAGATGTACAAGAAACACGTTCACCTCAAAACCCAATAGCAGCTTCAAGAGGATTTTTGTCACTCATTCCTTACCACGCAGATCTTAAACTTTAATTACCAAATCTCTATACTGGCTCCAACAATTTGCTCCTGGAACCTCCCACTTCCCCTAGCCTCTTACCCTAACTCAGCCTCCGTCTGCCATGTGGACTGCTTTCCCCATGGCCCCAAGCCATAGCTCTGTGGCTGCCATTCCGGCCTCTGCCCATCTGGCCAAATGCCCCCTCGCAGCAGCAATATCCACTTGGCATGGAGCGGGAGAAGACGAGGACTTATTTTTTTTCCCTAAACAGGATCTCCACTCCACCCCACCCCACCCACCCCCACTTCCCTTTCTGTCTCTGTCTCTCCCTGTTTTTCTCTGACTGCAATTTTTGCATGCTGTAAATCACAAAACACATTTCTCTACATCCTCCAATAGTTCTCTAGCATGTGTTACTCAGGGAAATAGTGTCCACAAGAGTTTGAGGCAGTGAAAAGACAAAAAGAAGCTCTTGTGAATTCTCTAGAGAAGATCGTATCAAAACTGAGATCTTCAGAGTTCATCCTTCCATATGTCCTGGCTCACAAAAGTTGCAATAGGTAATCATACCATTCCTGGTCAGCCTGGAACCCTGAGGAATATTCACTTCACCACCACTCCACGCAAAACAAAAGTTTGATTTTCTGGTACAATGACTATCTTTATTAGAGTAAGAGCTTCAGAGAAACAGTTCACTCTTCTACTTGACTTTTACACATTAAGAACTCAGTTTTAGGGTACAATACCAAATACTTCCTTTTCAACAGTCACCAAACACTATGACATAGGAAATCTGGATGCTCACTGCAATCAGTGGGCTCCTGGGTGAGGACTTGCTGTCTGGAGAGTAAAAGTATTTGTGAAGCAAGAGGGCCTTGAGGCATACTAGAAAGTGGGCTGATTCTCTCCTCTAGAGCTTCAGTTTCTTTGTTCAATGGGAAGAATCATCCCCACCACAGAGGGTTAAATTGGCAATAGGCACATTAGCACTAAAATACCCCCCACAAAGTTTGCTTAGGACCGTCATTCATTGCTTCAGCATGTGAGGCTGTGGGATTTGTGTCTCCTGACAGCTTACCACATTCTCATCCTTTGTTCTTATCACGATCCATTATATTAGGACTGCTTGATAAATGTTTATATGATTACAGACAAGGGCTGTGGTTTCACATGAGAAATAAATAATAGAGGGAAAGAGAGATCTGACACTTGGTAGGTGTCTTCTAAGCACTATGCTAGAACTAGGAGCTTTATATATTGTCTTCATTCGAGTGCCTTGGAAACAGATTTAAGATAGAGAATTGTGTGCAGGTTTACTTAAGAGTGCTTTTGGAAGATACGCCTGCAAGGAATTAAACAGGCTAGGATCATGCAGGGAATGACACTGACCTGAAAGGGAAGAAAAAACTAAAGCCTCAGCTTATTACATGCAATGTTTCAGAGCTGAAATGTGCTTCAGAGCTATTCTCAATTGAGATGAGGAGCTAGATTTTGCATGTTCACCTAAGCCAGCCATTGACCAGAGACTACTGTGGAAGGGAACATAATCTTGGTTGGGGCCACTTTGTACTGTCAAGGAATACTTCTGAAAGGGCACAGATGGGAGCCCTCAGCAGCCAACATCTTCAAGGAGGAAATATACCAGGAAAATAATGGAGAACTGAGAGGAAACTGCATGCATTAGCCCTGAAGCAGGGAATTTGGCAGGAGCACCACAGTTTCCACTACAAGCCAGCCCTTGTACCATTCAGATCCACTTGCACTGTATAAATTTTCCTATTTGGGAACAGATTCTCTATATTCTATCTGATATTGCTCCTCAGAGATCTTTCAAAGAGGATGGGGAATGAACAAAGCCACTGGTGCTGTAAATGATCTCAAAAACACAGCTGATAGTCATTATACCTCTTCGACGTCCTATTCTAGATTCACCTCATTTTCAGCAAGAACCTCTGCTGGTCTAGGCAACTTGCCTGGTATGGAAACTCTGACCCTTATCTCTGGTCACCTTGTTTTTCTTAGGTCATGGCTGATATACTTGTTCATTTACTATTGCAACCAGGAGTATGAGAGACATATTCTTTCCTGTGCTCACTATATTGCAGCAGCCCTGCCTCCTTCTAAAAATCAAGGTCAACAATTCTCGTCGGTATGGAGATTCCTTTCTTCTTGACTACAGTGACCAAATGGCATTCACACTTCATGTAAGTTATACTACTACTGTGCCCTGTGGAACCATTCTCCTCTGGGTGCCAGAACCTCTTGACTCATAGAGCCTGAAGTTAACAATATACATCACATTTTGGAGGATGGTGACACACCCTCAGAAGGTGTCCTCTCTAAGTTATCACTTCATTTGTTCACTTAAAAGGCTGTTATAACCACTCTGTCAGACCAGCAGCTGCTACATGTGATGGGGCCAATGTGCACAGGACTGACCTATCCATCTTTTGCTATACAGTGGGTACTTTGGTCTAAGGCAATGTTATGCAGTATCCTGCACTGATAAATCATACCCAGTGGTACTGATGAATCAAACCCAGTGATACTGGTAGAGGCTCTGTCAGCAGGAAAGGCAAACTCATAACCAGAATCTGTACAGATAACAGTTAAGATGAATCATTGCCTTTCCAGGAAGCAAGAAGCCCAAAGTTATCAACTTTTCACCTAGTGGTTGATTATTATCCTCCACAATTAGTACACTCTAAGGGTCTCTGCATTGGTCTTTGTAGTTGATGGTCATTTGGTAGCATAAGTGAGTAGGAAGGGGAGTCCATACTATTATGCCCATGATAGTCCCCATCCTTGCCACTATAGTTACTCTATTCATGTTCCTACTGTGTCTGCACTGTGATAGATACTGGCTGATGTTCAACTGACTGAGTCATTCTATTAATTTGGTTGCTTAATGTTTCTCCTATGGTAGAGACACCTAGGTAGGGAATAATTTTACAAAAATCTTAACCCTCTGGCTCATTCTAATAGATCCTTCCATGTTCCTCTTTTTTAGGTCTCTTTGTCCACAGTCTTCCAAACTTTGCCATTTGCCACTGTTCCTGGATACATCTACATTCTTATCTTTGGATACTTCTCTTTTCATATGACATGGAAGTACCACCCAGAATTGTCACCAGCTGGTCAGGCTGACAAGATGAGCTGTGTTCAAAGGAGTTGACTGTATCAATAACTATGAAAAAGGTGAAGAAACCACACAAACACGAAAATACCTTTTTCTCAATTGCTGGGGTCAGGGATGGCTCTGCGACCTCAAAGATCAGCTCCATACTGGAAAGAGGACAAGGAGAGCAAGAGAGGCAAGCAAGAGTGAGAACTCAAACACCTCTATTTATTGGGGAAAAAACATTCTATAGAAAATTCCTCCCAAATAAGGCAAGGGGTGGGGTTTCAAAGAGTGGAGTCTTGCTTGGTGATATCTTGTGGTCAGCAGATTGATTGACATCTTGGCAAGTCACGCCCATCTCAGGTGCTGTGTAGGATCACAGGCAGAGCAAGAGGAAAGGTACACATGTGTCACACAGCCCAAAAAGCGCAAACCACCAGGCCCCTCATATGCTCAAATGCACATAGCTCACACACACAGCCCATGGATTGCTCATGACATGGAACTGTCCACTGGGAGGATGTTCCCTTATCCCTATCCTTCAGGGTCCCTCCTGTGTGGGGTTGGAGCACAGCAGCATCTTCAGTTTGCATTAACATGCACAAGCTGACCCAGGCCTATGTTCAGGCTTGTCCTCTGCTACGAGCTGATCATAAGCTTCTCCCACCCCTAGAAGCCCTAAGTGAGAGCTGTGGGAGAGGTGCTTATGCAACAGGGATGGTGACAGAATGCACTCATGATGAGCAGCACCTGTGGCATGGCCACTTGATGTCCTGTGGTCAGCTACTTCATCTCTACCAATGCAAAATAGCAAGCCAAGAAATACTTATTGAATGTTGTACAGTTCCTAAAACCCTGGTCAACACTAGTTCTCCTGTTGGGTTTTTCAGTGAACATCATGCAGCATCCTCTCCCACCACAGACACCTCTGGCACCAAAGATTCTGCTTAATCACATGCCCTGCCTGTGCTGCCGAGATCTTTCCTTCTCTAGGTCCCGTTCATATTTGGCAACCTCCCATGTCACCACTCATCAAATAGGTCTCAGAAGTATTCCAAGTGTGGAAGATGCTGCTTCCAGAACCCAAAGGAGAGTCACAGTATTGTGCTTTTTCCTAATGGTGGGGAGCTTGAGATGCAACAATGTATCCTTAACTTGGAGGGGATGCCCCAAGATATCCCCAAACACTGAATTTCTAAAAAATGTCTCTGAATCTTCACAGGGTTTATTTCCCACCCTCAGGTGTGGTTCAGTTATGTCAAAGTTTCTTACATACTTTCCAGTTTTTGCTAATCTGTTCTAGTTAGCAAGGTTTCATCAATATAGAGGACTGAAGTACTGAGGAGTGTGTAGATAGACCAGGTTCTTTCAGAAAGCAAGGAAATTAACATAGCCTTGGGAAAGATGGCAAGTGTATAATGTTGCTTATTCCACATGAAGGGGAACGATATATAAAAATTCTTTTCTGATGATGAGAAAAGAGTATATGCTGTATGGCTGGTTTCATACCACATTAATCTGCTGCAGCACAGATACTACATGAGGATTCTGTAAGAGGCTGCGGCAAGAGGCTACAACTTGGTTCTGCCTCACCAGAGTGCTCTTATATCAGTTTCTCCCCCTTATTCTACTTTATGTTTCATTTCTCCTTGATCCAGACCCCTCAGGATCCAGGTCCATGAATATTTATTCCACTCCCGTTGTTACAAACAAGCCAGGTTTCAGAGCTTCTTTGTTGTTTAGTCTCTCTCCTCCCTTAGCTGGCCCAAAACATCCTCAGTCAGGCTGTGCTGAATTTTGACCATTGTCATTTGTCTGATTTCCTGGAAGGGAAAAGAGAGTAGATCTTCAAGGGGTGAGGGCAGGCTTTTGCTCACTGCTGAGAGTTCCACACGATCTTCAGGCTAAGTGGAGTCATTATATTCTACCATATTAATTCTGAAAGCCCAGAAGACTTAAAGAGTGAAATGTTTACAATATTTGCATCTACTCAGATATTCCCAGACGAATCCTCAAAATTCTAAGCCTTTCCTCTCTGGAGCATGACATTGGATCAGAAGAACAACCAGGATACAGTTTAGGCTTCCTGAAGCTCCAACACTCTTATAATCCTGATTCTGGTCCTCCTCTGTCTATCCACCAGTTACAAGACACCTACTTCCCGTAAATACTGCATGCTAGTTTTCCCATTTTACCTTTAGTTGATTATTAATCACCATGAGCCTAACTCAGTGATGCTCAGCAACAACTTTACAATTCCCAAGTCATTATCATTACAATTTCCTTTACTTCTCCAGCACCAGAGATGCTACAACTGCCAGTATGTCTCCTTCCACCAATATCTCAACCTACTTTACCAAAGTGATAGTTTTAACTGTCCACATTCTACATAGAAGTAGTAGTAGGGTCTTCACTACCATTCAGCCCAGGAAATGATTCTTCTCTTATGATCTGTTCCCTACAATTACTTCTGGTACCATCTTCCAGTGGGTTTTCCAGAAAGCAACTCTAAAAACAGAAAACTGCATGCAGAAGGTATTTTGAAGAATGTTCTTGGATGACACATCTGTCCAGAAGTAAAAAAAAAGAAGCTGGTCCACATAAGGCTACAACTGATCTTCAAGAGATTCTATGATTCTACAGTACTGGAGTGGTTATTCAGAATTATACCAAAGTTAAACAAAATGGACAAGCCTACGGCTTCCTATGGAAGCCAACCACTGGTTGTAGGTCACCCCTTGGGAGGACGTGCAATTTTGAGTGAGACAGTTCTCTGCTGCTTAGGGCAATTCCCAGTGAAGGAAGTAGCTTCAGGCCATTAGCAGCTGTTATTTTGGTGGGGTGAGGGTGAGGGGTTAGGGAGTAGGGGGAGATTGGATACATTAGCCCAAGGAGGGGATTTGGTTAGAGCACCACAGTATACACTACACATATATCATGTTATCTATACCATAGCTGCGTTCAAACAAGAATTTTGATCTTGATTACTCTCCCTGCCTCCAGAAGGTCTGTCCATTTTATTTTTTATTTTGTTTGTTTGATTTGGTATGAGGATTGCATCCAGGGGCACTTAACCACTAAGACATTTCCCCAACCCTTTTTAAAAAATATTTTATTTTATTTTGAAACAGGATCTTGCTAAGTTGCTTAGGGCCTTGCTAAGTTTCTGAAGCTGGCTTTGACCTCTCAGTCCTCAGGCTTCAGCCTCCCAAACCTCTGGGATTACTGGTGTGTGCCACAGTGCCCAGTCAGTACGGTCTCTTTTCCATGAGTTACAGAAAAGAAATTGAACCTCCTAAAGATTAAACTCTTGCCTCAAGTTGATTAGTGAGTAACAGAGACAGCAGGATCAGGCGGCAATTTGAACAGGTCACTCTGAGTATTCAAGAAATGGTGGAGCCACGGTCTTCAGTGGCGGGTTTCAAACTACATGTGGGAAGTCTCTAGAAGAGCTCTCGTATGTGGAATCCATACATTTCATGAAGCTCCCTATCATTGAAGCTCTGGTAGAATTATGGCATAATCTGTCAGACACCTGAAAAATTGTTTCTGGTTGTTTTTAAGGGAAGCAACTCAGGCCAAGCCACTTAATCCATCCTTCCAGAAGGGCCCATACTGGTTACCGTCTAGAACTTTCCACTGGTCATCTTCTGTCAGTATTGATGCTACCTCATGTCCTGCAAGGCACCAAAGAGGTATCAAATATCTAGAAATTTCCAGTCTCAACCCCACTTGTTTTCTTCTAATTTTTCTCAGTGTTGGATGGACTAATCATGATTACTCTCAAAGTTAGTGACCTTAATCTCAGTTCTTACTCTAAGAAAATGTTTTTGCAACATTATTTTTCATGCACTTTTGTACAGTGCAGTGTGCTTGGGTAAAGACCTGCATATATCACCACAATACTACCAGATACTCTCCTTCAAAGCATATAAAAATGTGAATTAGTCTCATGGTTTGCCAGGGCTCCACCTCCAAATCATTGTGGTAAATTCACTTAGTTGGTGCTAATGAAGCTTGGAACCACTGATTTAATTGCAATGTGAACCAGAGTTAGCCTTATTCTCTTCTATGCTGTACTCTCAAACTGGGGAAGCTTGGTCCCAGATGGAGACCGGGTCGAGGTAGAACAGACCAAACATGTGGATGGACCACAATAAAAATCACAGCTCAAAAACCACCCTTCTGATGGCAGGCCAACTATCTTAACCTCCGCAGGCAAATTAACTCATTGAAAGGAACGATGAGGGTTTAATAATTATTTGTGAAATTAATAGACAAATTCCTTAAATGGAGTAATTGTTCTCTGCATTTCCATGTCTGCCCATGTCTTGTCTATTTCCGTGTTGAACTAAAAATTGATGCTGGGCAGAGCTTTCCCTCCTCCTCATCCACTGGCAGGAAACATATCATGTCTCAGCACACCAGGGGATACCCGGTGACCTGCTGGGGAGCGTGAGCTGGAGCAGTTCCTATGACAGCATGTGCCACTTTGCCTTAATAAAAATTACCAAACTGAAAACAGATGACAGCTGCAGATGCTGAGAAACAGACATATATAAACAAACTCCTTTACTTGGTGAGGCTTTTGTCTCTATTCGGTCAGTCTTCTTTCCACCAGTTGGTGTGTGTGTGTGTGTGTGTGTGTGTGTGTGTGTTTGTGTATGTGTGTGTGTGCTGTCCATGTGTTAATGAAGACTCCAGGAGGCCCTTGGCCTGATGGTGTGCACAAGGATGCAGCCTGACGGAAAAAGCTCCCTGGGACATTGGCCAGACTTGATTAAATGGCAGGGTGGTCTATTCTAGAAGAATCCACTTCATGCAGGGGGCCTCCTTTGATTATTTCTACTTTTGTCATCAGAGAGAAACACTGGGAATCCTTTCTGTTTTCCTGAATCTTCCTGTATTGTATCAGTTCCCCCTGCTTTATACTCTCTTTTCCTTCAGGACACTCAATCAGCCAACAGTATTTATTCAAACCTTGTTGTCACTGAATACCACCATTAGATAATTTACACAAAGTACAAAAATATATGCAAGATGATTCCTGCCTTTGAGGGATGTTTAAACAAGTTTAGGAGAAATGTCACATAAGCATGAGGCAACATTTTGTAAAAGTAACAACACACCACAGTGTGAGATGCCATTATAAACTGAATCCAGGGCAAGAAAGCACAGGCAAAAATAGAGATAAGCAAAATTCATAAAAATAGGTGTCCTGAGAGAGACAAGTTCTGAAGACAGCATTATTGAGTTTACCTTCAAATCTTCCTTCTATGTTATTTTTGAAATCTACTTTTCCCACCACCCACCACCAGGCCATAAAGCACTTTGCTCCCATAACATATTTTAATTGACCTTAATATGTCCAGATTTTCTTGCATTCTGCCTCTGTGGTGTATGATTCTATCCCTATATAGAAAATGTCAGATTTTCTTTGCAAAATGCAATTATTTCTGCTAGATTATTAGCTTCCCAAGAACCAGAAATGGTTCCATATTGATTCCCAGAAGAAAAGAGAGGGGCTACACTTACAGACCCAGGTGCAATCTACATAGAAATTATCATGCAATAGCTAAACAGTGTTCAGAAAAGTTATTCAACTATTGTTATTATAATTTAGATAGTTGTTTAATAAATTTTATGTACTTCTTTTTCTAGGTGGGTTTCATCATTCACAGAGAATTATTTGAGTCCTAAATTATAAGAATTGCTTCAAACCACAAACCTGAATCAAGCAGACGCAAAATACATTTGTAATCATTAGCCTAATGCTCAGAATGGGGCAGAGGGAATATAAGATACACTGTTCAAATCTAGATGCACCATCTTTTACCCAAATAGCTTCACCTAGATGGTGAACTAATTAGACAGCAAACAGGAAAGATCACAGGCTGGAAGAACTGATATTTAAATTCACTTCATATTCCATAACTCCTACAACAGAGCAAAAAACACCATCTTCATTTCACCCTGTAAAAAAACAATTTCTCACCTGTTTTTTGGAAAGACATAAGTAAATCCCCCTAGGAGTCCAAGTGGCAAATAAACAAAATCAAGATGAGCTGATAAACATGCAAGAAGAGACAGAATTTTTTTTTTTTTTTAACCAGGGATTGAACTCAGGGGCATTCGACCACTGAGCCACACCCCCAGCCCTATTTTGTATTTTATTTAGAGACAGGGTCTCACTGAGTTGCTTAGTGCCTCACAGTTGCTGAGGCTGATTTCGAACTTGTGATCGTCTGGTCTCCAACTTCCAAGTTGGTGGTATTACAGGCATGTGCCACAGAGCCAAGCAAGATAGAAACCTTTATGAAAAAGAAGTAATCAAGGGGGAATAATTATTTTTTTAGCTTTTTCCATGTTTTTTACTGGTCCATTATAATTATGCATAATGGTGGGATTTCTTGTTACATTCAGATCTGCATACTACAAAACAATATAATTTGGTCAATATAAAGGGGGAACTAATTCTAACAGAAATCATAATATAGAAGAAAACTAAATAGTTAAATGGTGTGTTTCATAATCAGATTAATGAAACAAAATATGTAAACATTAGATCTAATTCTCTAGAAATTTAATACATGTAAAGATGACTTTGTAAACCAGTAATAGAAAAATTATGTTTAGAAAACAGGTAGCCACTTTAGGTTGAAAAAAAGATACTTGCTTTGCTACTTCATCTTTAATTCAAAATAAAATTTAGGTGAATATTAGATTCAAATATATATATATATATATATATATATATATATATAGAGAGAGAGAGAGAGAGAGAGAGAGAGAGAG